CGTCGTTGTTCGCATGCTTGGTCATAGGATATCCTTAGCATCGTTCTGTAGAACCACATATCCGCTTCCTCGAGTCTCTTCTTCTGCTTTGAGGAGGCCGTCCAACATTCGCTGGCGTATAGGAGAACAGATGCCACGTAGCAGCTCAGTAGATTTTTCTTTGTCACCAAAGAAATCCTCCTGTCTCGCAGTACTCTACCCAACTTTGGGGAGCTTTTGAACATCCCAATCCGTCTTTGGATCTCAGCTTCACATCTATCGTCCTCCATCAAAACACTTCCCAGATATCTAAGCTTCTGCACAAGTTTGATTTTAGTGGCCCCGACCTGCAAATCGCATCTTGGGCTCAACGTTTTACTGATGACCATGCATTGTCTTGTAGCTTATGATTAGTCTCTTTTTCTCGCTCTCTCTTCTTCGCTTTTGCAGTTTCCGTGTTTTCTATCATTACTGTGTCATCTGTGTATCTTATGTTGGTAAGATTGGGGTCACCTATGTTGCATCTCGGTAGGATCTCCAATTCTCTCAGAATTGCCTCGCTGTATAGGTTGAATGTCCGATGCCTTACGCCCCTTTCTATTTTTGTATATTCGCTGAACTCAGTGTCGATGCACATGATAATCAAGAACCTATACCGGCGTATAGGTTCTTTATTATTCTAATATCTTTCCCGAATATATCAAGGTTGCTGAGCAGTTCCGGCAGATCCGTATGGCGTACTTTGTCGAACATCTTTGCGCAGTCTATAAAACATAGATACACATCCTTCTGCATTTGTATTGCTCTTTCTGATAACATTCTAAGCATGAATATCGCATTCCTTGTTCCGATGTCTTTAACGAACCCGTACTGTTCTTGTCCTATCTTTGGCCCTATTGTGCCGCGCGAACTATCCATTAGAATACGAATGAGTTTTGTTATGTGGTTCATTAAGTTGATCGCTCGGTGGAGCTCGCATTTTTTGCGCCTAAGAAAGGCATTGCTATGAAAATAGATCTGCTGACCGTTATATCCCCACTGTTGTAGATTTCATTTATTATTTCTAGTCTATGTCAAAATCATCTAAGCCTGTCAGCATTTCTGTTATAATTCCGCCTGGCCCTGCCGCATTGTTTCTGTTCAATTTGTCCAGTGCAGCTTCTACTTTGGTTTTTAGAATTTCGGGTCTATTGTTATTGCTGGTTGTTCTCTTCATCGTTGAAGAGGCCGTCCAGCATTCGCTATCACATAGGAGAAGAGATACCACGTAGCAGCTTAGTACTCTTTTCTTTGTCACCAAAGAAATCCACCTGTCTCGCAGTACTCTGACCAGCTTTTGGAATGCAACCATGGACATCTCAATCCATCGTTGGATCTCAGCGTAACATGCTTAGAAATAAACCCAATACTTTGCACTAAACAAAGATAACCAATCCCCATAAAAAAATAAACAAAAATATAAAATAGTCAATGGTGTATTATCGGTAGTCGAGCCAAAACGAAATATACATGCCTGCAGATTGCGTTCAAGCATGAAACAGACTGTCACCGTTTGGTTTTGGCTTCAATGTCTAATCATATATATATATATATATATATATATATATATATATATATATATATATATATATATATTTATGTGGCCTGACGATTGCATAAACAGACTGTCGCCTCTAAGTGTTGACTTCTATGTTCACTTTTATATTTACACACGCGCTCTATCTCTGATATTGAGCACTTTATTCCATAAACATAGCACACCTTAAGACTATATTTCTTTATATATATATATATATATATATATATATATATATATATATATATATATATATATATATAGCATGGCTCGGCGTTGCCCGTACTTGATTAAAAAATCATACGACATACAGCAATCGCTATCACTTGACTTAAAATATTTTTGCTCTTCCTTGCTTTTAAAGGAGTGTCCTTTGCCGTGCTGATGTTGCTACATGTCTTACTTCTTGCCTATCTCACACTGCGAATTTTTTAAGCTCTATACTAAACATTAAATCTGTTATGAAAAAAGAACTAAACAAAATGAACACAAAACGATCAGCTTTAAAAAAGGACACGTGACTGGAAAAACCGAATAAAAAAAAAAGAATGTTAACAACAAATACTTTTTCGCACCCAACCCAGTTCTGCGGAATCAGAATCAACGTTGAGTTTAAGCAAGCGAATGAGCCAATTGGAGTAAAGTGCCATGCAGATTTAAATTTTTCTCATTTGTGACGAATGCAGCTATCGATTTTTTTTTTGCATGCTAGCATTCGTGTCAGTCAGCTGTTGGCTCTCACGCTGGCCAATAGAAAATGGCCGCAAACTACATGAAAATGGCCGTAGAAGCATGAAAAAATCGATTATTTCCACTATCGATGGGAATTGGGAAATGCAAAGTGGGTCTTGGCCTTCCCGCTAACTTGGAGCATGGTGCATGTAAATTTTGGTGCAAATCCGTCGAAAACTGCGACCGTGCATTCGTTACACACACACACACACACACACACACACACACACACACACACACACACACACATCCTGCCTTATATATATATATATATATATATATATATATATATATATTAAATGTCACTGTGTCACACTTTTTCATCTTAAAAGGACACAACTCTCTTACTTTATATGTCATTTTAAATGAAAAAAAATACTGTTTTCAAATTTCAGTGTTTCAAAATAAAATTGTGCGTGTTTTCAATTTTACTCCTAGAGGTCGTAGCCGAACATATTATACCATTTTAGAATCAGACCGACTCCGTGAGCAAGTTTAAAACATTTTGGGTCGGATCCGGACCTGCAATTCTGAAATTTGGGATTCCCAATTTTTCATTACTGCGATTGTTTTCGATGATTCTTTTACGTGAATTTTTGCAACGAACTTTTCTGTGCGATAACAATTTTTATAACTTGGAAATAAATTTGAGAATAATCGAAATTAAATGCGAACTTCAGCGAAAATCACCCACGAAATAAAAATAGTTTTTTGTACGGAGAGTAAGGACCTGCATGCATCTTTAAATCAAGTGTCGTCAGAAGAATTATCGTCGAACTTTTCAGAGGTAACCTTAAGTCTACAAATCAACAATTCGCCCTTGCATGGAGTATTACTGCCATATTTGAAATGTTTGGTATTTACAAATTCCCCATCCAGAAATTTTATAATAGATTCAGGGCATCTGCCGTCACTGCTTTCATTCCAGTTCGTAGTTTCTGCTTTGGAAACGTTTCATCTCGAGCTGTATTTTTTATAGAAGACGTTGATTTTGTTTTTGTTCAAGATCCTTCCTATCCCAACTATGAATATCTGAGATAGAGATATTAAGGGAGAGAAAAAGAGTATGGTGATTTATTAAGCTTAGCTTAGCTGTGGCACAAGGCCGAAAGTATGGGGCACCCAGTGTGGATCGAAATTACAACTCAGTCGTAATTGATCTAGCGAGACAAACTTCCTAATCATTACACCACATCAAAGTGCCCGCGGGGGAGAGAGTATATATAAGTCTGAGTGCTCCCACTTCCAAAATAAACATTTAGGATGTCTCAAAAACGTATTCACAGAGCTATATAATAAATGCCAATGTCATTGTGTCAGTGTGTCACACTTTTTCCACTTTACTCCTAGAGGTCGTAGCACAATATATCATACCATTTTAGAATCAGACCGACTCCGTGAGCAAATTTAAAACATTTCGGGTTGGATCCGGACATGCAATCCTGAAATTTGGGATTCCAAAGTTTTCATTACTGCGATTGTTTTCGACGATTCTTTTTAGGTGATTTTTTGCAACGAATTTTTCTGTGCGATAACAATTTTTATAACTTGGAAATAAATTTGCGAATAATCGAAATTAAATCCGAAAACCATTGAAAGTCACCCATGAAATAAAAATAATTGTTTGTAGGAAAAATAAGGACTTACGTACATTAAATTGCCTTTAAATTAAAATGGCTGCAGAAGAATTATCGTTGAACTTTTAAAAGGTAAGCTTAAATATTAATGCAATACTTAAATATAGCGATCAATTTTGAGTTCTGTAGTTTATTGTTGCCTATCATATCTACTTCTCCCTACCTATTGTGATGAAGGCCCAATCAAGAGACCTGTACAAGTGCTAGTTAAATGTCACACGACTTTTCGGAAGTATATATATAAAGTATGAAAGTGGACATTGAAGTCAACACCCAGCGGCGACAGTCTTTTTCATGCTTATGCGCAATCGATGGCCTGAGGATTGTGTAAATAGACCGTCGCTGCTGTGTGTTGACTTCAATGTTCACTTTTATATTTACATACACTCTTTTCTTGATATTGAGCATTTTAATCCAGAAATATAATATAACTTAAAACTTGTGCGTATGTGTGTAGACATAAGCAGGAAGATAAAAGTTATTAATAAATGCACTAGTTCACAATACAAATATATTTCTCACACATACTCATCTGTGGTTAAGAACTTTTAACTTCCTTAATGCATCATTCTTCCTTTATATCCGTCACTATATATATATATATATATATATATATATATATATATATATATATGTGTGTGTGTGTGTGTGTGTGTGTGTGTGTGTGTGTGTGTGTGTGTGTATGTATATATGTATGTATGTATAGGGGTGTATCATCATTATTAATATTATTTAGCAGAGAAGAAGACAGCGATCAACGTTGATATTTGTACACATGCGCAGTAGGCTAAGTCGTAAAAATGATGAATATATATTGTAAATGTTTCACAACTGCTCCTGTTCTTGAAGAGTACGCAGGCGTGAAATTAAATTTAATTCCAACACAATGGCGCCTTAAATTTTGTCTGTGGGAAGTTTTTCGTTGTTTGGAATTTCCCACTGTAAGGACAATTCTAAACAGCAGACATGAAGCTTCCCCCCACCCGGACATCGAATGACACATTCATCCATCTTTTCGCTTACACTGTCATGAATATGAAAATGTAATATTCACACGTGCAATTGTTCATTATTAGTTTTGCACACTTTTCTATTTCTATCCACCATTGTTAATTAATATCTATCTATCTATCTATCTATCTATCTATCTATCTATCTATCTATCTATCTATCACAGCCTGCTCATCTATCTATCTATCTATCTATCTATCTATCTATCTATCTATCTATCTATCTATCACAGCCCCGCTCATCCATCCATCCATCCATCCATCCATCTATCCATCCATCCATCCATCCATCCATCACAGCTGCTCATCCATCCATCCATCCATCCATCTATCCATCTATCTATCCATCCATCCATCCCAGTCTTTTGACATCCATATCTATCATCTATCTATCCATCTATCTATCTATCTATCACAGCCTGCTCATCTATCTATCCATCCATCCATCTATCTATCTATCCATCTATCTATCTATCCATCTATCACAGCCTGCTCCATCATCTATCCATCTATCTATCTCCATCTATCTATCTATCTATCTATCTATCACAGCCTGCTCATCTATCTATCTATCTCATTCATCTATCTATCTATCTATCTATCTATCTATCCCAGTCTTTTGATATCTATCTATCTATCTATCTATCTATCCATCTATCTCCATCCATCCATCACAGCCTGCTCATCCATCCATCTATCCATCCATCTCCATCTATCTATCTATCTATCCATCTCCATCACAGCCTGCTCATCTATCTATTCATCCATCTATCTATCTATCCATCCATCTATCCATCTATCTATCCCAGTCTTTGATCCATCTATCTGTCCATCTATCTATCTATCTATCCATCCATCTATCTATCTATCCATATCATCTATCTATCACAGCCTGCTCATCTATCTATCTATCTATCTATCTATCTATCTATCTATCTATCCACAGCCTGCTTCTATCTATCTATCTATCTATCTATCTATCTATCTATCTATCTATCTATCTATCCCAGTCTTTGATATCTATCTATCTATCTATCTATCTATCTATCTATCTATCTATCTATCTATCTATCCCAGTCTTTTGATATCTATTCATCTATCTATCTATCTATCTATCTATCTATCTATCTATCTATCTATCTAAGGCACTTTCTTTCTTTGTCTTAAGTCTTTGCTGTCCGCTATTCTTAATTAACATCTATCTATCTATCTATCTATCTATCTATCTATCTATCTATCTATCTATCTATCTATCTATCTATCTATCTATCTATCTATCTATCTATCTATCTATTCATATCTATCTCAGCATGTTCTTTTTGTTTTTTTTTTAAATCATTTCACCCCAAGCAAGGCAATAAAGCCACTAATGCACAAGTGGTTATGAGTGTGTGTATGTATGTGTTTCTATGTGAATTTGCTTTACTGCACTATCTTAAAAATTCGGGGGAATTTGATTGAGAAAAAAATTATTTAACTCTTCATTTCCACCGTCTCCTTCGTAGTAGTTCCCATATTTATCGATTTAAAAAAATCCAATCCCAAAGATTGGCGTAGAAAATCCCTACTATAGAAATTCTCTGAACGTATGTTTAGTACATATCTCCTTTTCTTTCTTCGCCATTTCTCTCTCTCTTTCTCTTTTTGTCTTTCTCTCTCTCTCTTTCTCTTTTTCAATCTCTTTTACTCTCTCTTTCTCTTTCTCTCATTCTTTATCTCTCCCTTTTTCTCTTTCTCTCGCTTTATCGCTTTCTTTCTTTTTCTCCTTTTCTCTCTTTCTCTCTCTATCTTCTTTCTTTCTTTCTTTCTTTCTTTCTTTCTTTCTTTCTGTCTTTCTTTCTGTCTCTCTCTTTTTCTCTTTCTCTGTTTTCTTTATCTCTATCTCTTTCTCTCCCTTTTTCTATCGCCCTTTTTCTCTCTTTGATTACGCCGCGTCGCTGAATTTTATTGTACATACATTCAAGAAACATAATTTGCAAATGAATACTTATAAATCGCTTTAAATTTTAAATTTATATCATTGCCTATATGTTTTCCCTTTAATTGGAGACCTTTTCATTACCGGGTGTTTTTTTTTTTTTTTGAGATAATGTTTCACTTCTTTTTATATCTCTTTACAATCGTAGAAAACTCCAATTTAATTCATTCACTTCTAATGTAGGCATTTTTAGCAGAATAATTGAAGAATTGAACCAAAGATGTAAACCTTTCAATTTTTATACAAATCTAAATAGCAAGAATTCTATTGCTTTTGCTCAGTCCCTTTGCGAGTGCATTAGCTCAAAAGAGAGAGTCGATAAAAATGGCGGCATTAAACTGTTGATCTTTATTTGTTGCTTCAGTGTGAAAATAACAATCCTTTTTTTCTTTCTTTCTTACTTTCTTTTTTTCTTTCTTTCTTACTTTCTTTTTTTCTTTCTTTCTTACTTTCTTTTTTTCTTTCTTTCTTACTTTCTTTTTTTCTTTTTTTTACTTTTTTTTTTTTTTTTCTTTCTTTTCTTTTTTTTCTTTCTTTTTTCTTTTTTTCTTTCTTTCTTACTTTCTTTTTTTCTTTCTTTCTTACTTTCTTTCTTTCACTATATTTTCATTTCCATATATTTTTTTCACTGACAGATAGACTTTCTTTTTTTTTTTTTTTTCTGGGCTAGTTTTATTTCTATATATATATATATTCTTTCTTTCACTATATTTCATTTCCATATTTTTTTTTCACTGACAGATAGACTTTCTTTTTTTTTTCTGGGCTAGTTTTTATTTCTATATATATATATATTCTTTCTTTCACTATATTTTCATTTTATATTTTTTCACTGATTTTTAGACTTTTTTTTTTTTTTCTCTTCTATATATATATATTCTTTTCTTTCACTATATTTTCATTTCCATATTTTTTTTCACTGACAGATAGATTTTCTTTTTTTTTTTTTCTGGGCTAGTTTTTATTTCTATATATATATATTCTTTTCTTTCACTATATTTTCATTTCCATATATTTTTTCACTTTAGACTTTCTTTTATTTTTTTTCTGGGCTAGTTTTTATTTCTATATATATATATATTCTTTCTTTTCTTATATTTTTCATTTCCATATATTTTTTCACTGACAGATAGACTTTCTTTATTTTTTTCTGGGCTAGTTTTTTATTTCTATATATATATATATTCTTTCTTTCACTATATTTTCATTTCCATATATTTTTTTCACTGACAGATAGATTTTCTTTTTTTTTTTTTCTGGGCTAGTTTTTATTTCTATATATATATATATTCTTTTTTTTCACTATATTTTCATTTCCATATTTTTTTTCACTGACAGATAGATTTTCTTTATTTTTTTTTCTGGGCTAGTTTTTATTTCTATATATATATATATTCTTTTTTTCACTATATTTTCATTTCCATATATTTTTTTTCAATACTGACAGATAGACTTTCTTTCTTTTTTTTTCTGGGCTAGTTTTTATTTCTATATATATATATTTCTTTCTTTCACTATATTTTCATTTCCATATTTTTTTCACTGACAGATAGACTTTCTTTATTTTTTTTTTGGGCTAGTTTTTTATTTCTATATATATATATATTCTTTTTCTTTCACTATATTTTCATTTCCATATATTTTTTCACTGACAGATAGACTTTTTTTATTTTTTTTCTGGGCTAGTTTTTATTTCTATATATATATATATATTCTTTCTTTTCACTATATTTTCATTTCCATATATTTTTTTTCACTGACAGATAGACTTTCTTTTTTTTTTCTGGGCTAGTTTTTATTTCTATATATATATATATTCTTTCTTTCACTATATTTTCATTTCCATATATTTTTTTCACTGACAGATAGACTTTCTTTATTTTTTTTTCTGGGCTAGTTTTTATTTCTATATATATATATATTCTTTCTTTCACTATATTTTCATTTCCATATATTTTTTTCACTGACAGATAGACTTTCTTTCTTTTTTTTTCTGGGCTAGTTTTTATTTCTATATATATATATTTTTTTCTTTCACTATATTTTTCATTTCCATATATTTTTTTTCACTGACAGATAGATTTTTTATTTTTTTTTTTTCTGGGCTAGTTTTTATTTCTATATATATATATATTCTTTCTTTCACTATATTTTCATTTCCATATATTTTTTTCACTGACAGATAGAACCTTTTTTTTGGGTAGCTTTTTTTTTTTATATATATATATATTCTTTCTTTCACTATATTTTCATTTCCATATATTTTTTTTCACTGACAGATAGACTTTCTTTATTTTTTTTTTCTGGGCTAGTTTTTATTTCTATATATATATATATTCTTTCTTTCACTATATTTTTCATTTCCATATTTTTTTCACTGACAGATAGACTTTCTTTCTTTTTTTTCTTTTTTTTTATTTCTATATATATATATATTCTTTCTTTCACTATATTTTCATTTCCATATATTTTTTTCACTGACAGATAGACTTTCTTTTTTTTTTTTTTCTGGGCTAGTTTTTTATTTCTATATATATATATATTCTTTTTTTCACTATATTTTCATTTCCATATATTTTTTCACTGACAGATAGATTTTCTTTTTTTTTTTTTTCTGGCTAGTTTTTATTTCTATATATATATATTCTTTTTCTTTCACTATATTTTCATTTCCATATTTTTTTCACTGACAGATAGAGACTTTTTTTTTTTTTTTTTAGTTTTTATTTCTATATATATATATTCTTTCTTTCACTATATTTTCATTTCCATATATTTTTTTCACTGACAGATAGACTTTCTTTCTTTTTTTTTCTGGGCTAGTTTTTATTTCTATATATATATATATTCTTTCTTTCACTATATTTTCATTTCCGTATATTTTTCTGTTCCTACACGCTTTCTTTCTTTCTTTCATTCTTTCTTTCTTTCTTTCTTTTCTACGCAAGGTTTTATTAACACATATATCTTCTTTCTTTCTTTCTTTCTTTCTTTCTTTCTTTCTTTCTTTCTTTCTTTCTTTCTTTTCTTTCTTTCTCCACAAGTTTTTATATTATATATATATATATATATATATATATATATATATATATATATATATATATATATTATTTTTTTCTCTTCTTTTCGTTTTTTTTCATCATTTGGTTCTTTATTTCTTTTCTGCTCAAGTTTTTAGTCACACACACACACACACACACACACACACACACACACACACACACACACACACATATATATATATATGAATCTGTATCTATAAAAGGCAGGATCTCTGTGTGTGTGTGTGTGTGTAACGAATGCACGGCCTCAGTTTTCGTTGGATTTGCACCAAAATTTACATGTACATACTCCAAGTTTGCGGAAAGGCCAAGACCCACTTTGCATTTCCCAACTCCCATCGATAGTGGAAATAATCGATTTTTTCATGCTTCTTCGGCAATTTTCTTTTTCTACTGGCCAGAGTGAGAGCCTATAGCTGGCTGCCACAAATAGACAGGAAGATTCTATTGCCCAGCGTGAGAGCCAACAGCTGACTGATACGAATGATAACTAGCATGCTAGCATGCAAAAAAAAAAAACAGAAAATTGATAGTTACATTCGTCACAAGTGGGAAAAATTTAAATCTGCATGGCACTTTACTCCAATTGGCTCATTCGCTTGCTTAAACTCAACGTTGATTCTGATTCCGCAGAACTGGGTTGGGTGTGAAAAATTATTTGTTGTTAACATTCTTTTTTCATTTGATTTTTCCAGTTACGAGTCCTTTTTTTAAAGTTGATCGTTTTGTGTTCATTTTGTTTAGTTCTTTTTTCGTAACAGATTTAATGTTTAGTATAGAGCTTAGAAAAAATTCGCATTGTGAGATAGGCAAGAAGTAAGGCATGTAACAACATCAGTACGGCAAAGGGTACCCCTTTAAAGGCAAGGAAGGGCAAAAATATTTTAAGTCAAGTGATAGCGATTGCTGTATGAGTCGTACGATTTTTGAATCAACGCCGGGCCATGCTGCTAGTATGAATATAATTATAATATATCGCGCATATAATGCTGGTGTTAATAAAGCAGTGCTCGATATAATACAACAGAGCTAATACGTATATATTAATAAATATACATATTATTCCTCACCGATTGTACGACTCGGTGTTTCATGCACAACGCA